CAAAAAAACCCCCCCCCCCCCGCTCCGCAGGCATCGGCTCCTTTCTCGCCTGGAGGTCCTGACGCCGGCGGGGACCACGGGCCCTGGAGCTCCGGCCCCGCCCGGCCTGCCCGCTTCCGCGCCTTTGGCGGCCCCGGTTCGCCCTCCCCGTCGCGTGCCTCTGCGTGTGTGTCCCGGTGCGTGCCTGCCTTCCTGCCGCCCTCCGCCCCGCGGAGCCCGAGGCGCCCACTCACCCTTCAGCTGCACCACCAGCTGGAAGCCGAGGCTGCCGGCCAGGCCCGGTGGCTTCTCCACCAGCAGGTAGTACCACTGCTGCCAGAAGGGGAGCGGCAGGGCCAGGCGGCAGGGCCGGCGCTCCCGGCAGTCGACGGCGGTGGAGTTGTGCAGCGGGGGGGCCTTGCCGCGCGCCTTGAGCCACAGCGGGCAGCCCTCGGCGCTCTGGTTGACCCCCCCGCGGCAGGCGCGCAGCTCCACCAGCACCTGCGAGGCGTAGCTCGGGCTGAAGACCCTGCGGGGAGACCGAGAGAGGCAGGGAGAGAAAGGGGTGAGGAAGATGCGCGGCCGGGGGGGGGGGGACAGGCCGAGGGGGCCCTTCACTCCGCGCGTCAAGGGGGAAGAGCTTCGCGCGTGCCGGGCAGGGCGACCCTCTCCCTCCGCGGCCTCTCCCCAAGCGCCACCCCGTGGCCGTCTCTCGCCTCCTTCGGGCGCCGGGAGGGCCCCTGAGCAGGACTGACATCGTGGGGCGCGGCGGCGGGGGACGGGATGTCCGTCCTGTTCTCCCAGAGCAAGGGAAGGGTGTGACCTGCCCAGTCAGCTGGCAAGGATCGGCGGCCAAAGCCCCTGGAGGGCGGCGTGCGGGTCGCGGCAGGTCAGGCGGCCCTTCCTGGCGGCTCCTCTCCCTCGCTTCTCTGCTGGGGGACTGTTTCCCCTCTCTTCCCCCTCCCCTAGAAGGGCTTCACGTTGTGCCCCCCAAGACCCCTGCCTTCCTGGCACTCACTTGCACAGCAGGGAGCGGTTGTGGCGCGAGAGGACGTGCTCCGTCACGTAGCCAGGATACAGCACGGTGATTCCCAGGAGCCGCTGGACAATGAGTTGGGGCTGGAAGAGGTACTGGCAGTCCTCGGCAAGGCCCTGGCAGGCAGGCAGGCAGGCAAGAAAGGAAGGAGAGGGAGGGGGGACCAGTCAGAAGCAGGGGGCTGTCCTGTGAGTGGCTCAGATCCACTCCCCATCCCTTCAAAAGACCCCCTTCCAGTGTGCAATCAGAAGAGCCCAAGCTGATCAAGGAACTGCCCACTTGGACAATAGCAGAGGCAAAATACTAGGGTGTTTTTTAAAAAAAAGTCAGTTGCAGAACAGAATTGAAAGCGACACATTTAGGGTTCAATGCCTGCCAGCAAAGAAAGCTGATCCTGGGGAACTTCTCAGTAGAGGGCAGAGTGAGGGTGGGGCCCTGTGGGTCTCCCCGCCAGAGCATCCCAGTGGAAAGGCTTTGAGGGTCTTCTCAGCAGGCAGCATGTCCTGGAGAAGCGCCACTGGGGAGGCAGCTGTTCACAATCAGGGCCAGGTGAGGGAAGCCATTACCCGAGTGGTCAGGCCCTAAACTTTTCCAGGGTTTAGGGGTGAACCCAAAGGCTTTGACTTGGGCCTCACCACCACCACCAGCAGTGGTGCTTCCTGGACTTGGCTGCCCAGATAGGAGTTCTGACCCACGATGGGGCAGGACCTCCTCCTCCTTCCCACTCAGAAAAGCCTCTCCTGAAGGACCCCAGAGCCCATGGGATCCAAAGCCGCCAAGAGCTATGGAGAGGTCTGAGACCACCCACAAGGGCAATAGACTCCACGTCTTTGTTCTGGCAACCAAGGCTGTCTCTGCTCCGAAACCAGGGAGGACTGAAGCCCAGTGGAAAGAGGTCCTTCTCCTCAGTGTCATCAAAACAGGAGAAACTTGAAGAAAAGCTGGAGTTGACTAGCGACCGCGTCCCTCGGCCCCCTTATGGGTGGTTCACCCTGATGCAGAAGGACACCCGTCCTCCGGCTTGAGCCATAGCGTCTTCAGGAGAGCACAGCCCACTGCCTCTGTGAAAGAGGCAGACAATCATCCACCCCTCTGGGAAGCATGGATCGCCTGCTGGATCCATGTCCTCAGGCTGGATCTATGGACTGCAAGGAGCAAACGTGAGAGAAGGGCTGAGCGCACCGCCCGCCTGAAGGGCAGATCCAGGCCCCCTGGGCCTCAACCACCGGAACTGATCCAGGAGGACGGAGCAAGTCAGCGCCCGGGGTGCCAGCCCACCCCAGTCTGGCTTGCATTGTCTGGGGATTCCAAGGTACATCAGGTCTCGGTGGCTTCATGAAGGGAGGGTTCAAACCAGATCTTCCTACCGATCAGGCTCTAAAATTGCACCTCCCGGAGGTAACCGGTTCGAACCCAGCGCTCCTCCCTCCCAGCCTACTGGGGGAAGGTCAGCAGCCCCTCCCCCTCCCCGTAGGGCTGGCCAAGGCCCAGGCTTTCCCTGGGGCCGCACCTTGACAGAGATCTTCCCCTGTTCCTTGGGCAAATGAGCTGCCAGGAACCAGTCCCCAGGCAGTGGGCTGGTGATGTTGAAGACGCCCGTGGTCCGGTTGGGCAGCGTCCAGGTGAGCGTGAGGGCGAAGGAGCCAGGCACGGCTGTCTCTCTGGGGAAGTGGGTGTGCAGCGGGTTGATCACAGGTGGGGCCCCTGAGCGGAAATACCTGCCAAGGAGAGAGGAGAAGGTGAGAGAGGGAGAGCCAGAGAGAGCAATGGGGTGCAGGGAGGCAGGGGCAAAGATCATCCTCTGGCTGGCAGAAGGCGGGGGAGAAACAGGAGCTCAGCTGACTGGTTGGGAGCAGGAAAAGGATGGGCCCACTTGGGGAATCAGCCTGGCCCAGCCCAGCCCAGTTAGGGAAAGGCAAGCCAACCCATTGGAGGTGTGGGACAGCAAGACAGCACCAGTCTAATGTACGGGGGTGTGTGTGTGAGTGAGGGGTGTCTAACTTCAGAGCAGCACGGCAGCAATAGCTGTCCCAGCAGCTACCAGACTGACTCTCAGGGAGACCCTCCTAGAAGGGACGCCTGAGTCTTTCTCAGACAGAGAAGGCTGAAGTGGCTTCGTGGGCCCTTCTTCTGCTTCCTGACTGAGCTCTTCTCTCAGTTCTGGACAGGCAGAGAAGGCCCTGGGGACCAGGAATCAACCTCAGCACCATCCTGGTCGCCGTGAGGGCTGGCCGGTCCCCTCTGGGGCGTGGATGCAATTCCTCTTTGAAATAAGAAGGAAAAGCAGGCAGGGCCCAGCCCCTCGGCCTGTCTTTCGCCCTCCCTCTCATCCACCACAGGAAAGGCAGAAGCTCTGTGGCAAGCTCCTTTCGGCCTGAGATCCCCAGAGTCATCCCTGGCACCTCCAAACCTCTCCTTCCCCCCTCCATTTAGCTAGCCCAGAGAGGGAGGTCCTTGCAAAGGTGCCCCCCATCCCCCAAGGGGGGGAAACAGATGGGAGGGGGAGGCCACAGCAGGGCAGGCTGCCCCTGGTCTTGGCAGGACGTGGTTCTTCCTCCTCCAGCTCATTTTCTCCAGAGGAGACACAGGTGCAGAAAGGAGGAGCAGAGCAGAGCAGAGTGCGCGGTTGCCTCTCAGCCCTCGTGCAGCTGGTTCTTCCCATCTTTCAGCTTGCACTCACAAAATTTCATTTCAGTGCTGGGTTATTAATATTGATTTCCAGTCCTGTGGTGCGTGCGTGTGTGGCTTGGAACCGAGGGAGCCAAAGAGTTATGATTAATGTGGGGGACCCTTTCCTTCTCTGGAAATCTCAGCAAGCGGTCCAGACAACAGATGGCCAGGTTGCCATTCACCTTTTTAAAGGAGGCCTTGTCACAAACCCCTTAGGGACCGACCACGGGATGTGGAAAGAAGCAGGTTCCCAGCCAAACCAGCTTCAGAAGCATGTGGCACATGACCAAAAACAAACCAAAAAACCCACTGGAAGTCTCCCCCACTGAAGAGGTTCTTCATTTCCACCAGAGTCCCATCCCAGCTGGCTAGAAATGACAAGACATGCCTTAGGAAGGCTGGCATCTGGTGAGGGGTGATGTGGAGGGCCAGCAGTAAGGGCTCAAAAGCTGGATCAACCCCAGATCCCAGAAATGTATTGATTGAGTGATTTAAAATATGTTCACCCCATCTTTCTTCTTAAAAAGACCCAGAATGACCTACAGTACATCAGTAGATGTCAATGTTTAAGATACTAAAAACCATTAATATAGAAATATAGAAATATCTTTTTTAAAAAATCAAACAAATATCACACTAAAAATATTAAACAAAAGCAACACCAAAAGTCGCCTCTCCTTTGTGTCCCCGACAACCCCCACTGTGAAGGTGGTGGGACTAGATGATCATCTCAGCACATAAGCAGGCTCACAAAGAGAGACACGGTCCTTGAGAGACCGCCTTGGGCCCAAGCTACTGTAAGTGCTTTCTTTAGAGGTTAGGACCACACTTTGGGCCTGGAAATGGATCAGCCGCCAGGGGAGCTGCTGTAAAGGGGGTGGGGTGGGGGTGGGCTTTTTGACTCCCTGTGAAATGCCTCAGTCAGCAACCTGGCTACTGCATTTTGGACCCACTGAGGTTTCCTGATATGTCCCGTCCCACCGGCAGCCCCACATAGAGGACATTGCTGTCATCCAGCCAGAAAGTAACCAGGGCGTGTGTCAGCCTGGGTAGACTAGACCTCTCCAGGACCAGGTGCAGCTGGTGCACTCATTTTAACCATGCAAAGGGACTCCTGGCCACTTCTGAAACCTGGCAATCCAGGCTCAGAGATGAATCCAGGAGCACCACCAAGCTAAAAACCTGTGCTTTCACAAGGAGGGCGACCCCATCCAGCACAGGTGAGGGACTCTCAGCTACTAGCTGAGCCCCACCATCTGTCCTCAGATCCTGAGTCCTCCTGAAGGCAGGGTCTCCAGGTGGATGTCATCCCCCACCCCACCCCCAGAGATCTCAGGGCCCAAACCCTGTCGCCTTCTGACCCTCTTATGGAGGCCACGCAGGCAAGGGTTGAGAGGAGGCGGCAAGCATGACACGCAGGGATAACGCTCTTGGTGCAGATCAGGGGAGCTCCCCCCTCCCCCAGCTCTGTTCCCTGACTCACACGGTGATGCTCCGGTCTGGGCACTGGTCGCCAAAGGTGCCTCCCTGCTCTTTAAAGGTGATGAGGTTCCAGACAGCCACCACCGTGTCCTCCGGGATGCGGAAATGGAAGAGCTCGATGCTGGTGAAGGAGCGGAAGGCGTTCAGCTTGCGGGGGGTCCGGGTGAAATAGTCGGTGACAAAGAGCCCTCCTGAGAGAGAGAGAGAGAGAGAGAGAGAGAAGGGGTGGTGGTGCTCAGGCAGCCTTGGCGGGAGGAGGGGGCAGAGCGCGCCTCTTGGTCTTCGCCCTTTTCTCCCACGGTGCATCTGCCTTCCCCACGGACCACGAACTCCCCTGCTCCCACCCTGCCCATAATGTCCACTGCCAGGAATGGACCTTGCAGCCAAGGAGGGCAGACCGTAGGGACGGCTGTGCAGGGAGCAAGGCTCATTGGAGAGGGAGGGGTGGAATCCAAAGGGAAAGCAAAAGACCATGTTAGGCAAGGAGACATCTCGGGGCCCAGGGCTGAGGACCAGGGGCTTCTCCTGCAAGGGGACTTCTTGCAGTCCTCCCCCCCCCACTTCCTCCGATGTCAGAGTCGTGCATCAGAGAAATGGATTTGTCCACCAAAGCTCGCATTAAAATATAGCAGGCTAGCCTCTAAGATGCTCCACCGCTTCTAGTTACTCTGTTTTTGTCTTTGTCTGATATCCCGGGGCAAAGGCTTCGCCAGCTTTCCTCACAGAGATCAGCGAAGCATTCGTTCCAAGTCTTCTGAGAGAACAAAGTGGGATGGGGGGGCATGCTTTCGTTAGGGAGTGCCCGCCCCCCCCGCCCCCAACGCTCACTGGCTGCTCTAATGGGAAAGCTCTTCAGAGTCTCGTGGGGGGGGACGAGCAGCCAGAGAAAGGGGCTTTCCTGGGAGAAATCCTGCGCCCTGCCACCTCAGCCACGAAGGCAGGCCTGCATGTAAACAGAGGGTGCCATTGCACACACGTTGCCAGGAGGGAGGGAGCAAAGGCTGAGCCTCGGTAAATCACGGTAAGTGCTGCCAGCCGATGCCATAAAACCTTTTTTTTTTTTTTTTTTAGGTTCATGGGAGCATATATAATATTCTGCCAGCCATTTCCCTCCTCATGAAAATGATCTCATTATTCTTGCTGAAAGCCATCAATTACCAGGTAATTAAATGTCTTGGGCTGCTGGTGACAGGATCAGTAAATCTCCCCGCTGCCCCCTCCCCCCAGTTTGGAGGCGGCCAAGCGCTCCTTCCGAGGCCAGGGGCCTGATGGCCATCCAGCCAAGCCTCGAGGGACCAGTCCAGGCGGGGTCGGGGGGGGGCAGCCTGCAAACCCTCCCGTCCCCTCCCCTTTCTAACCTGCAAGCGGGGAGACGCGGGCAGGAGGAGGTGCCGTGAGAAATGGCCAGGAGGGGAGTCGATCTCAAAGTGTGTGCGGAGAGGGCTGGCCAAGAAAGACCTCGATCCTGAGATATCCGAGGAGGGTCGCCCCCCCCCCGCGCACCTCTTTAACGCCAGTGACAGAAGGGCCAAGAAATGGGAGGGGGGGACAGGGAGGGGAAGGGGGAGCACCAAGGGCTGGATTTTAGCGGAGAG